GGCAAGAGCATTAAGTGCTTTTTATGGTAGAGGTAGATTCTTGTTGGGCAAGAGAATCAAAAGTTATTAGGGGGTAGATGTAAAAGTAGAATTCAAAACGTAGAAAGATCTGCCATGACCATGTTGAATGGCAGAACAGGCTCAAGCAGGCTGAATGGCCTCCTTCTGCTCCTAATTCATATGTTGAAATAAAAATTGCTAATCTAATGACCACATTTTAACCTGGCCAATTTGTCCCCCTCTATGGTCTTTGGAAAAATGATGGTATTTCCTAATCAACCTGTTCCGGGATGTTATTACGTACATCAGGAGTAGGTGGGGCTTGATATGGGCCTCCTGCCACAGAGGAAGGGGTATTACCACTGCTACAGGAGTGTAAAGAGCCATAGGTAATGATACCATCAGCAAACATTTGTCCATACTTTACTCTCAGATTGGGTTACTACAGTTTGGGTTCAGAGAAAATCCCTTGGCTACAGTCTTTGTTGCCACCTTAATTCAGCCTTGGCATTAGTACTGATGCTACATACAAGAGTGAGGATAATTTTTCTTGTATCAGGCTAGTATCAACTGAATAGGGCACTAGAGATTGTTAAAAACAGTGGTTCAAGGCCTTTTCCTAACAGTCGCAAAAAAGGTTATGATTGGCAAAGTACGGTGATTAAAGTTCCAGGATATTACTGCAGACATTCCTTAGGGAGGTGTTCTTGGCCTTAAACTTTTTTTTCGCTGCTTCATCAATGACCTTCCATTCCTCAAATGGTAGAGAAGGGCAAATTACTGATGATTCTATACTGTTTTGGTTCCACATGTGATTCTTCCAATAAAGAAAAGGCTGTGACAGTGTATAGCAGAACATGGCATATAATCAGGCTTAGATTGACTTTGATTTTTGCCATCTATTTTCAGGTAATGACCATCTCCAACAAGAAAAATCCCACCTTCTTATTTTTAAAGTACCACTATTAACCCAAATTCTTGGTCAACAACATCTTGGGGTGGGGAGGGGGCAGGCGCTAGTAATGAGAAATACAGCTTTGTGTTATATCAATAACATAGATACAAGTTTTGGAAAAATGGTTGATGCTCTGTTCACACCTAACCCCTCAAAGCTGATGTGAAATTTAACTGGGTGGATGCATCTGTAGTCAAGTACAAGCACTTGACTCCATCCAAAACAAAGGGGTCCACATACTTTGTGTCATTCCCAGTGAACTTGTCAACCACCCCAACTGTGGTTGCTATGTACTACTTACAGGATACACTGGAGCACTAACACACCAAGTTTTATTCAATAGCACTGCTAAACTTCATCACTGGAAATGGCAAGAGCGGCAATTTATGAGGATACATGTCTCATAAACTTGATTTGGGCAAATACTGCTGTACCTTCACTTGATGCTGAGCCAAAATCTTGGATAAAAATCCCACCGTAGGAGCATTATCAACTTGAGGATTGTAGTGATTAAGAACAGTTTGGGCTAATAAGCAATAGACGGAACATAGTGCTGACAATCACTTACTGATTTTCTTTCGTTGTCAGATGATTACTTAAATCTGGAACTACAAAAGTAGTATGGGATTTTAATAATTATACATAATTTCTTCAGTGACAAAAATCAATTTTCTCTGCTACTGATTTAATGAGTATCATACCAAATGTAACTAAAACAACCATTTGTGATTCCACAATTAATGCCTGAAACAAATCAATGCTGAAAATAACCATTGAAAATTAATATACATAGGCCTATTACACATTTAAAATACCAAGTAAAGCCAATTTAGAACATGCACAAATGAGAGTCTGAGTAAAAGCTGTCTGCTTCAACACACTTTCCTATTTGTTAGCCTAAACCATAAACGCGTAACTCTATGACCTTCACTTTAACCTAGTCATATGGCTTTCTTCTTTACAGAGAGTTTTACAGCTAATCACAATTAAACAGCATACGATTTAATTCTACAATTGCTTAATCAAGTCAAAATTTGCTTAATCAAATCAAATATTGTTATACACAATAAAAACCGAAAGAACTGTGGTTGCTGTAAATCAGGAACAAAAACAAAGTTGTTGGAAAAGCTCAGCGGGTCTGGCAGCATCTGTGAAGGAGAAAACAGTTAACGTTTTGGGTCCGGTGACCCTTTCTCAGAACTTATACACAACTTTTGTGACACCTTTTCAAATGCCTTCTAGAAACCAAAGTGAACAATCTCACATTTTCCCACATTATACTTCATCTAACCATTTTTCTTTACTCACTTTGCCCATCCATATCGCCTTGCTAATACTTTTGTATCCTCTTCACACCTTGCTTTCATAGCTTTCTTCATATCTTCAGCAAATTTGGCTACAGTGCAGTTGGTCCTTTCATCCAAGTCAATATAATAGATTGTAAATAGCTGAGGCCCCAGTGCTGATTCACTTTCACCAACTTGATTTTTGTTGTTAGTTAGCTAGTCCTATATTTGTGCTAATATACCATGTTGACAACATTTGACTTACAGGCAGTATGGTAAAGAATATTTTTTATTTCTTTATAAGATCTGTGTATTCTGTAATTTTTAAAAGAATTTTGGTAAAAAGCACTTCTTCAAGAATTTGCATCAGTTGTAAAGACATCATTTTGTAACTTTTTTTGGATAGTATGACATGCAGGACTAAGTGACCTGTAAACTCTGGATTTGGAAACCGTACCAAGCAACAGGGAAGGAGTCTTTCTTTTTTTTGAAAAGAGGTTGTGTGGCTGTAGACACAAATGAAAGCTGCATTCAGAGGACTGGCTGATGAAGAAAATCAGTGCATAGATGCAAAGAGAGACAAATTAGACAGCAGAACATCCTTGATGGGGGGAGCCAACTTGGTCTCGGGAAGATATCAGATTTTGTCTTTGGCAGCAAAGTAGACCGGTGCTCTTGGAGGTACTGTGTGAGCTGTCTAAAATGGTCCAAAAAATTGGAAGCTGTGTAACTAGCTCAGATGCTGAAAAGTTGGCTGTTATCCTGGAAATGGTCAAAATTGTGACCCAGGGTTTTATTGGTTGATTGGTTGAAAGGTGAAAGAAAATTCATAAGTGTATCGTGCTGATAATCATCATACCCATGAAACCTGAAAGTGCAAGCTGTTATCAGCTAGGATTCCTGCCTTGCCCTGCATATTTCTGTAGAAATTACCACCCTTTTATAGGGGAAGTTTATGGCAGTTCTGTTTGCAGATTCACTTTAACTAATTAGATTACATTCACTGAGTAAATCAAATAGTTTGGTGGTACTGAAATGAATATTGCTGAATAGGAAGACTATGCTGAAGCTTTACACCTTATATCAGGACAAATGCAAGAATGTCAGATGGCCCATGATCGCAGCATTTATATGACAAGAGAAACGCCTGCTGATTAGTTGGCAAGTCAGCCCTGGACAAGGCATTGCAATGGAGAAAATGGTGAAACAATATGTTCCCCCAAGCTCCAGCGTAATTCAAAATGTGTGTATGGTTTAAACAGATTCTGTTTTCAAAAAAATAGGTTCCTGTGTATAAATGTATCTCACTTTGATAGAATGTTTTAAAAAAAAAGGTTGAGTTTCACTCTTCATCTTAAATTGGTCCTTAGTGTAGCAATAGCTCACTCAGGATTATTCAACTAGTGCTAATTAATCATAGAATAACATCTAACATTTTTGCTTTGGGTTTAACAGCTATGGTTTGTTTGATTTTGGTCATTGCACCATCTATTATGGGCAACTAAAGGAACCTTCTGTTTGATTTGAGCACGAACAGTTGGGACAGTCAGTCTATATAACTGGTATTACACTGTCACTGAAAGTCAGACGTGATGTTGCTCAATTATGTGGTGGTCAGACCACCTTTCTGTACCAATGGCAATCTGTCAGTGGAAAATACCACCCATAGCCGTTGTGTTGTAACAGTGTAGAACAGCTTGTTTTAACCTGAGTTTACACAGTAATTTTGGCGAATTGAGGCTTATCATCTTTCTGAGCAGCCACTTTCTCGTCCTGCCCTGCCCAGAATGAATTGACATGAAGAGTGGAAGGGTCATGAGAAGTGGTCAAGACCCACAAGGGATTGGCTGTCACTCTTAAAGTCTAAAAGGTGGGGCAATTTGCACATGCGCTGGTGCTGACATCACTGCACTTGGAATGTGGTGACACCAGCGGTGCATGCACAGACAAATCCTGAAACCTGTTGTGACCAGCTGACATCACTGGCCCTATGAGCACCAGTTCTGGCAGCCATGCTACCAGCCATTTTAGCTTTGAGTGATTAATCTAAATTATAATTTCCTGTTTGTGTTTATGAACTGTTGTAGTTAATCTGTGATTTGAAGTTGGTGCAGTAATATAATCTTCGGTTCCAATGATCATATTGGATTAGAAACATTAACTCGCTTTGTCTATCTCGAGAGAAGCTGCCCAGATATCTTCAGCTTCAGCACTTTGTTCTTATTTCAGATCTCCAACACAATAGTTTGCTTCTACAATATGACCAATGGTTTACTAAGCTTTTTCTCAAATTACTTGGAATGTAGTAGTCTAAAAAAGCAGGCCCACAACTGCCTAATGTGTGTGACCAGAAGGGTGCAATAAATGTCACTGATGCCAGTCTCACCTACAGCTTGATAGCAATTTTTATTTTAAAGTCTTTATGGTAGTCAAATCCATTAGCCTAAACCCAAATTTAGGTCCGGACCAGGTAACTGAATGAATGTTTTATACTTCTTGATGTAAGGAATCTTTTAAGTGACATTTATTTGACAGACTAAAAACAAAGAGTGAATTGGAATGATGTAGAGAAACTGCTGTTAAGGAACATTATTGGGCACTATATATCACAATTGTTTAACAATATCCACAGAACGCAGTAACAGAGGTGCTGTGTGCTTTTAAATGCATGTTATTGTATACTGCCTTTTAATTTGACCAGAAGTTGTCATCAATAAGTAAGTTTACTCCTTTTTATTTCTGCCTTTTTTTCATTTTAGGAGAGTTCAGGAGATGCAATTCCAACCATGGAAGAAAAGCCTATGTCAGTTGCTGCATTAGCGTCAAAATTTAAACAAGAAACAAACAATACCTTGGAAAAGAATGAGGTAAGCATTTAGATCATTTTATGAAATTGATATTTGCTGCACATTACTTATCTTAACTACATTGAATATTAGAAAATGGTAATAATGGTTCCATCATTAATAACCAAATTATATCAAGAAATGTTTGAAAGTCCTTATTCAATTTTCACAAATGGATTAACAACATTCGCATTTTACATATACATACTTCACTTGACCTTATTAACAGATCATACTATATGACATTTCACTCTTCTTAAGAAATCTATATTTTTTTTAAAAAAAAAAGAAATTATTAGTCAGTTCTAAAATGCATCCAGACCAGTTATTTATAATTCCATTGCAGTTCAAATGGTTTTCTACATTCAGTATTTTAGCATCAGAGAAACTTTCTTGTGATTTCTCTCTTCTTTTACAGTATTCTTTCTGTCTTGAATTTTCCCTTAATGGACTTCCCTCTTATCCCTTGTGATACCAGATTCAACATGTATGGCAATATTCTACTTTTTTGTTCTATTTCTCATTACCTGTTGTTGCATCGGCCTGTCTGATTTCTCTCATTTGTGTCATATTGTTCTTAATCAATCTCTTCATCTGTCTTCATTTATCTTTCTTCTAATTGTCTTATTATTTGAAGAAGGCTAATAGAGCCAGGGAATACATAGTAAAGGGTAGGATGCTGAGAAGTATAGAAGAACAGTGTATGTCCACAGACCTCTGAAAGTAGTTGAACAGGTAGCAATGATGCACTAAAAGAAAAGTTTGAATACTTGCCTTTTAATTGATTGAGACATCATATATAAAAGCTAGGAACTATGCTAGAACAGTGTAAAACAGTAGTTGGGCAGAAATTCACAACATTTAAAAAGTACTTGGATATGCATGTGAAGTGCTGTAATCTTTCCAGCTGTTGGTCTTTAGCAATAATGTGGGAATAGGCTGAATGTCCATTAAATCAGCTGGTGGATAAATGATGGGCTGAATGGTCTCTGCTATGCTGTGTTTTCTTTTGATTCTTTCTGGGATGTTGGCATTGCTGACTAGGCCAGCATTTATGGCCCATTCCTAATTGCCCGGAGAGCATTTAAAAGTATCATTCATGTGGGTCCACAGTTGCATGTAGTCTAGACCGGTTAAGAATGGCAGATTTCCTCCCCTAAAATCACATTAGTGAACTGATACTTTTGTGACGATAGGCTAGCTTTTTATTCCTGATTTTTATTGAATTCAAATTTCACCATCTGCCATGGTAGAATTCAAACTCCTATTCCCATAATGTTGACCTGGTGGTTTGTATCACTGGTCTAGTGACATTGGTGCATACATATACATGTCCTGTTTTATTGAGAAGAATTTTATTTCTGTGATCTTTACAAATATTCGTCAATAATAAAGTGGTTTTACAGTAGGCAAAAAAATAATGTGAAGGACCAAGCACCAAGTCTAGGATAATGTTCTTTGGGGGAGGCTACCTGCAGGTATATGGGTGGTCTGAAAGTGGGACACTTAAGAATGAGATAACACGACTTTGGAGACAGTATGTTCCTGTTAGTGTGAAGGGTGAGGCTGATAGGTGTACGGAATGCTGGTTGACTAGAGAAACTGAGGCTCTGGTCAAGAAAAAGAAGGCATTTATCAGATATAGACAACTGGGATTGGTTGAATCCCTAGAAGAGTACAAGGGTAGTAGGAATATACTTAAGAAGGAAATCAGGAGGGCAAAAAGGGGACGTGGCTTTGGAAAATGGGGTTAAAGAGAATCCAAAGACATACTACAAATACGTTATGGGCAAAAGAACTATGAGGGACAGAATAGGGCCCCTTGAAGATCAACAAAGTCATCTATGTGTGGAACCACAGGAGATGTGTGAGATACCAAATGAGTATTTCACATCAGTGTTTACTGTAAAGGAGGATATGGAAGCTAGAGAACTTGGGGAAATAAGTAGTGATATTACACAAGAGGAGGTGCTGGAGGCCTAAAAAAGCTTAAAGGTAGATAAATCCCCAGGCCCTGATCCATTGTTTCCCAGAACTTTGTGGGAAGCTTGGAAATGGATTGCTGGTCCCTTGCTGAGATACCTATATCATTGATTGCAACGGGTGAGGTGCTGGAAAACTGGAGGTTGGTTAATGTGGTGCCATTATTTAAGAAAGGTGGTAAGGAAAAGCCAGGGAAGTATAGACCTATGAGACTTGTCAGTGGTGAGTAAGTCCTTGAATAGGACTCTGAGGGACAGTATTTATGTGCATTTGGAAAGGTAAGGACTGATTAAGGATAGCCAGATTGGCTTTGTGCATAGGAAATAATGTCTGTCAAACTTGATTTGAGTTATTTGAAGAGGTGTCCAAGATGATTGAAGGCAGAGTGGGTCATGTTGTCTGTCTGTCTGTATGGACTTCAGTAAATTGTTTGAGAAGGTTCTGCAAGGTAGACTGGTTAGTAAGGTTAGATTACGTGGGATTTGGGGGAGTTCGCCAAGGGATACAAAATTGGCTTGAGGATAGGAGACAACCTAGGGTAGTGGTGGAAGGTTATCTTTTGGACTTGAGACCAGTGGTGTGCCACCAGGATCTGTGCTAGGTCCACTTGAATTTTGTCACTGTATCATAGGAGGTATGGTTAGTAAGTTTGCAGATGATACCAAAATAGGGGATGTAGTAGACAGTGAAGAAGATTATCCCTGAGTACAACAGGACTTTGATCAGATGAGCCAGTGGGGCGAAGAGTGGCAGATGGGACTTAATTTAGATAAATGTGAGGTATTGCATCTAGGTAAGGCAAACTAGGGCAGAACATATACAATTAATGGTAAGGTCCTGGGGAGTGTTGCTGAACTAGGAGACCTCCAAGTGCAAGTGTGTAGTTCCTTGAAAGTGGGGTTGCAGGTAGACAGGGTGGTGAAGAAGGTGTATAGCGCACTTGCCTTCATTGGTCATAATATTGAGTAAAGGAGTTAGGACGTCATGTTCCAGCCGTACAGGTCATTGGTGAGGTCACATTTGCAATACTGTGTACAATTCCGGTCGCATTCCTACAGGAAGGATGTTGTGAAACTTGAAAGGGTTCAGAAAAGATTTACAAGGATATAGCTGGGACTGGAGGGTTTGAGCTATCGAGTGAGGCTGAATAGGTTGGTGCTTTTTATCCTTGGAGCATCGGAGACTGAGAGGTGACCTTTTATAGAGGTTCATAAAATCATGAGAGGCATGGATAGGGTGAATAGACAAGGTCTTTTTCCTAGGATGGGGAAGTCCAAAACCAGAAGGCATAGGTTGAAGGTGAGAGGGGGAAGATTTAAAAAGGACCTGAAGGGTAACTTTTCCACGCAGAGGTGAAATGTGTCTAGAATGAGCTGCCAGAGGAAGTGATGGAGGCTGATACAATTATAACATTTAAAAGCCGTCAGGATGGATATATGAAAAGGAAGAGTTTACAGGGATATGGGCCAAATGCTAGCAAATGGGACTGAGGTCTGTTTGGTGCAGATGAGTTGGACCAAAATGTTTGTTTCTGTGCTGTAAGATTCTATTATCCTGAAGTGAACAGAGTGATAATGAGGTTGAGATAAATTAGCATGCAATTGTCAGGTGAAAGTAAGCTTGGATTTTAAAATCCTGAAGACTGCATGAAGACGGCAGGCTGAGGGAAGTAAACAGGTGACTGTTTTCATGGTATGGATTGTAACCAGGCAGTAATATTTAAAGTGAACAGAGTTGTGCTGGAGAAGCTGTCATAGATGTGAGAGCAGTGTGCAAATCTTGCATTGGTTTAGGGTTTAAAGAGTATTCAGAGGTGTGGAAGTGTTAAATGTTTATGAAACTAGAAGTCAAGCATCTTGGAATTGAATTGTTAGCAGAGGTGTCAAGTCACTGGGGAAAGTCAATTCCATGCTGAAAGATAGACATGGGATAATGCCATCAATTCTAAAGTGACGTATCTTTGATTATGTTTGTGAATGATGAAGAAGTTGTACTGAAGAAGCGTCATACCAGACTCAAAACATTAACTGTTGCTCCCTCCACAGATGTTACCAGACCTGCTGAGTTTCTCCGTACTTTTTTTATAAAGAAGCTGTGGTTTGGAAGAACTGAAATGAGTTTATTGCTTCATTAAACAACACAGCTTGACTTACCACTATGTGAATTTGTACCTAGAGAATGCTTTGCTTTGCTTTGCTTTTGTTTTCTAAAGACAAACCAGTGCTGCTTGAAGCGTTGCAAGGAGGACAAGTTCAGTTAATTTCCTGTTTCTAAATGTTCACAGTTCTGCCTCTCTCATTAGTGTCACTCAGATATAGCATTCTCTGTTGAGTAAGCAGGTTGTGGGTTCAAGTCCTACTTAAGGACTCAAGTGTCATTCTAGGTAAGTGTTTGAATGCAGTGCTGAAGGACTACCATTCTTTAGATGATTGTTAAACTGAGGCCTGTCTGGGTGAATGGCAAATATTCCATGGCACTATCTGACAAGTGCAGGAAGTTCTCTGTTGTCTCAGTTAACAACCCTCTTTTAAACCAGCACCACTAAAAATAGGTGAACAATTTATCTCATTATTCTTTATGGGATCTAGTCATGAAGAAAATGGTTGTTTTGTTGTTTGCATAATGTTTACTGTACCTCTATCTTTGTTAAAACAAATTTTTTTAAGATTTTGATGTCACTGGCAAGGCAATACTATGTGTTCTCCATCCATAATTTTTTTTTGCATTAGATAGTATAGACTGGATTCTTTATATTAGTGAACCAGCTGGGCTTTTCCAAAAATCTGGCTGCATTTTTGATAATTTTCTGGGGGTACAGTTCAAATTACTAAGCAATTCTGGTCAGTTCATGGCTTCCAATGAGGACATTTGGCCTCTCAAAAATTGCCTTTGTGGTTCTGCATCATGATCGCCATGATCAACTTCCTTGAATTATTGACCGTGATACACTTTTTAGGATATTCTGAAACTTATTTCAATGCAGCTGTATTCCTTTTTCTTTTAGAAACCGCCCAAGAGACCAGTTCGTAAAAAGCCTCCTAGCTCTCTCCCCTTGTGTGGGATGAAGAATGACATTGAGACAGACCATCATGCAGATGAGGTAAAATGATCATATCTGAAAGCATTTACTTACCTTTTAAAATAATCCTATAGTGACCATCCTGTAGGTAATATTAAAGCTCAAACTTCCTATGTGAAGGCTAAAATTCTAATAAGCTGTGGTCAGATAATGCATGTTCAAAGTAAATGTTGTAACTTGAGAGACTCACTGAACTTTTCATATTACATGCTACTCCTTTCAGAAATCATCAGTTAATGACTCCAACCGTCAACCGAAGTTGAAATTGAAGACTTCCTCTCCTCTCATTGAAAAACTCCAGGTGGGTTCTGAGAATATTTGCCACTTCCTGTAACCGTGCTTGTTACATGCAGAGTAATGGGTGTGTGGGACAAGTGAGCTAAGCATTTAGATAATGAGGCAGAAAAAGAAATGCAGAAAATGCTGATTAATAAAAGATCCATTAGTGTCTATGAAGTTTTAAAGAAAAAAAGTGGGCTATCATTTCAGGGAATACACACTGTTGATGGAGAAGGATTTTGGAAGACATCTGAAGCTTTTCACTGGGAGAAAACTTTCAGAAAATTGGGTCTTCTGAAGTTGATAAAGCAGTTTAATTAACTGTAAAAGTCACAATGTTGAACTTGCAAATTTATATAGCTTCTCTGCAACCTAAGCTTTTTTTTTTAAATATAATTTTTAACCCTTTATCTCAGCCATTTTGTTGTTTTACAAAGTGATATGAATACTTTAATTTGATAGAACTTGTATTTTACAAATTCAGAACTGCCTAAGAATACATTTTTACAAGCTCTCCATCTCGGACTGAAAACCTGAAAGCTGCTCACCTCTGTCATTTTAGTTCTAGGAGCAATCTGATTGCAGCATGAAATTTTCCAGTAGGAAAACTCTGCTCAAAGGAAGTTCCTATCCAAACAGTCAGTTTTGAACTGTGTTCTTACTATTCTCTCAAGAAACTAGAAGCTGTGGAGGAACAGTATGTTTTGGGGTTCATGGACTGAAATTCCAGAAGTTATTTAGACAGGTACAAAAAATAATTAGGAAGGCCAATAGAATGTAACCGTTTTATCTCTTCTGTTTCTCACATAGGCCAATTTGCTTCTCTCACCAACTGCTCTCTTACCTGGGGCTGGTCCAAAGAGTCCATTAAAATCTTCCTTCTCGCCTTTTGCTAGTCCTGCTTCCACACCTGATAGTCCTGGAGCACGCTCCCAATCCAGTGAATCTGATGGAGGGCCAGTTACAATTGATCAACCTGCAGAAAGAGGACCTTTGCACAGTCTGCACAAGGTAACGTTGCGGCAACAGTTTTGGGTGGTTTTGTTGAAGTTTAACATCTGTGAATTTGGAATAAAAAGACATGATTTATAGATAGGAGCCAATAATAAATAACAGTTAAGTGATGTCTAGAATATTATGATCCACGCTACCTAGCCTGGTACAAGCTGCTGTCTTCAAGGAATTAAAAGTAGAACAAACATACAAGTATGTGAAATAAAAATAGGAAATGCAGGGCAAGATTATCGGTATCCAAACAAGAAGAGATGTTGGTTATAATTGGAACCGTAGGATAGATTTTCCAATATGATTGTATTTGCAAAGTGAAGAGGAAGAAAAGGTTTGAGACAGAAACCTGTTATTTCCTGTGCTAATTTGGGAATGACTGGCGCTTCTTGATGGCTCTGACTTGAACCTGTACATGGTGGCAGTTTTGAAGAAAAAAGGATCTGGAGGTACACATGCACGGCTCAGTAAAAGTCAATGCACAAGTGTAAAATAACATTCCCAATTGATGTTGGATTTTAGTCTCCAATAGATAGAAGTGCAAAGTGCCAAACTTACTTCCTTTGTACAGACTCTTGATCAGACATGATCTAATCAAGTTGTTCAAAATGAAAGAAAAACGGAATTAATGTGGTAGACACAATGAAGCGATTTCTTTTGTTAGGTGAGTCTAGAACAAAGGGATTGTCTCTGACCTACTATCCTCTTCAGAGCTACCCACCTCCTGTCTCCTAATTCTGCAAGGCCAGCTTCAACCTCCTTCCCATGACCCATAATAGGACTATCCTGGCAGACCCATCCTCTTTCAGCCTATTTCAGCCCCATTGATCTAATTTCTCTCTATCTTGACTCTTCCCTGTTCCCCCTCTTCTCATTCAGTCTCTTCCCACTTACATTCTTGATTCTTCTGATACTTTGTCAGTTACACAATTTCCAGTTTCCTGGCCCTAGCTGCCTCCTCCTCTTCAGGGGTGTACAGTTCCTCAACACATCCACTTCCCTATCAGGATGACCTGAAGGCTTTCTGCTGCTTCCTTGAAGGGAGGCCTGAACAGTCCCCATCAATCACCACCCTCCTTCATCTAGCTGAGCTCATTCTCACTTTGAACAATTTCTCCTATCATTCATCTCACTCTCTTCAAGTAAGAGGTGAGGCTATGGGTATCTACATGTGCCTGTTATGGCTGCCTCTCTGGGGGAAATGTGGAACATTCCTTGTTCGAGTTCTGTCTTGACTGCATCCTATAATTCTTTTTCTCTGGTATATCGATGACATTGTTGGTGCTGCTTCCTTTACTTTTTTCCAGAATTGGGAAAAATTAATCAATCTTGCTTCTAATTTCCATCCATCTCTCACCTTCACCTGATTCTTCCCTTGCCTTCCTTGATGTCTCTGTTTCCATTTCTGGAGATGGGCTTCCATCAATATCTTTTTACCAACCTGCTGATTGACTACATTTCCTCACACCTTGTTTCCTGTAAGGACTCTGCTCCATTCTCCTAGTTTCTCTGTTCCAATGATACCACCTTCTACATGAGTACCTCCAACATGTCCTTTTTTTTTCCCCTCAGAGGTATCCTCGTTCCCCGCCCCGCCAACTGTACTGTGGTTGATGGGGCCCTCAGCCCCGTTTGATTCGTTCCCCACTCTTCTGTCCTCACCTCTTTTCCCCTATCTTGGAACAAAAATAGTGTTCTCTTTCTCCTTGTCTCCCTCTTCTTCTTCTTCTTCTGATCAGTATCCATAATCAAATAATAATTTTCCACCATTTCTGCCATGTCCGCCAAGGTGAACACTTGCCCATTCACCACTACACTCCTCGCTGTCCAGGGCCCCACATGCACCACCTTGGTGAAGCAGCATTTACTTGTGTCCGTGATTTACAAACATCCAACTTATGAACACTTGTACTTACAAACTTGACCTCGTACATTGACTTAAAAATATAAAGACCCAATGTACGAACATTTCCTGTCTCAACCTGTTTTCGAATACTTGCAAACAGCTGTGTACCATTGTCCTACATTGCGTTCCATCTTGCAAGTAAACTGCAGAATGGAACCTGTTTGTAACCCAGAGAGTCTACAGTGTTAACTACTTGCAATGCAATCTCCTCTATGTTGACAAGATCAAATATTGACTGAGTGACTGTTTTGTCTGTAAGAATGACCGCAGCCTTTCACTTCCTTGCCATTTCAAAAGATCATCTTGATCTCGTGCTCAGATTTCTGTCCTGGGCCTGCTGCAGCTTTCCAGCAAAGCTCAATGCAAGCTGTACAAACAGCACTTTATTTTCTGCTTGGGCTCTTTCACAACTTTTGGGAGTGAGCATGGAGTTCAGCAGCTTCAGAGTATAAACGTTGCCCTCCAGTTTGGGTACACTCTGTTTCCTTGCCCTTCTGATTCCCAACCCCTTCCCACCTCTCAACCCCATGCCTTGTTTGCATGGGTTTGCTTTTAGCAAAGCCTATCTATCTCTACTATTCATATTTACCATTACTACCTAATTCTTTTGTTTATCTCTCTGCAGTTAGCATCTGCATTCTCTTTGTCTTTTGTCTGGACACCTTCACCATCTGTTCCACTCACTCCTCTTCTCCCATTGTCAACATCAAAAAAAACCTATAATTTTCAAGTGCTCTTTGGTTCTGAGAAGGAATCAGAGATTGGACTCAACATTAACTCTGTTTCTCTCTACATGGATGCTACCAAACCTGATGAGTTTCTCCAACAATTTCTGTTTTGCTTTATTTTTGAACAGAGGTGTAATTTTGAAGTTGGAAGTCATTTATCTTGGACTCAAATTGGAAGCACTTTTTCACAAAGGTAATCTGGGTCACGCTTCCTGAAATGGAACCAGGTGCTGAGTCAACTTACATTTTCAGAAGTAAAGTTAATGCATTCTCTCCCAGTTTTGTGGTATCACATTATTTTGGTATACACTGCAAAATAATAGGAATGGGTAGGCAAACATACACTGACAGGCAGTCACACCTGTTTAATGCTTGATTATTACATTAACGATCACAAATTTATTTGTGTTTTTGTTTGGTTTGACCTGTTAGAATCGAGTACGTGTGTCTGTGAAACGACGCCCACCCAGCAGGAAATTTCGAAGGTCGGTCGCTGAAGCTGCAGCTAACTCTGACTCTCCAGAAACAGACACACCACCTAAGAATGCAGAACCAGAACAGAATGGAACACCAGATGAAGAAAGCAATGATGTTTTTACTGATCAGGGAGTTCAAACTGAAGATACGACTTCAAAGATTTCCCCTTCACCTGAAGAAGACTCTCTCCCCTCACCTAAAGAATCTTCACCTGAACAGGCATCCGAGAAAGAGGTCCATCGCCTCTCATCTTCTCAAAGCCAAGAATCTGAAATCTCTTCTGATCTAAGCCAATGTGAACACCTTGAAGACAATGATATCACTACAAAAGAGAATGAGGAATGTTCAAACAAGGACAGGGAGGCTTCTGTCAGCAGTGATCACAACATAGCAGGAAGTGAGACTGCAGATTCTGAGACCTCTAAAGAAGAACCCAAAATTGAAGAAGTAAAAGCAATTGATATTCCGCAGCAGAACTCCAAAGCAGAGGTAGGTGGAGGAGGCTTTATTTGAGCAAATAAACTTGTGTGAATTCTAGCAGTAACAACAAACAAACAATTTCTTGCCTCTTTGGGAATCTTCAGTCACTCTACCTTACAAGACTTCAATTGTCAGCAATCTTGGGACCATTCTCCTGAGCGATGCTCAGATGATGTACCAAACTCAAGTCTTCAGCACATTTCAGTTCAAACATGTGTCCTGCTGCTCTGTCTTCAACTTTCAAGACGGTTTTCTAATTTTTATGCACTCAGGCCACTTTGTTTTAAATCAAATTTCTCACTCTCTGTTGGCATTGCAATCATAGCACATTGAGTTGGGGGGAACAGAATGGTGTCACGCAAT